AAGCAAATAAGTTATTCAGAAGTTTGTTACATTAATGAGTTCCTACTCTATCCTTTATAAGAAAAAAAATATTACTTACCTGAAATAATCTGTTTTTTTACTAGTTATTTCTTTTAGGAGCTTCTCTAAAATATATAAATATATTATATTTTCTTTTTTCAATATCAAAAAGATAATAATAAAATTGAAATATGCCTTATAAAATTACACAAAATTTTAAACAATCATTTATAGTCGAAATTTTGGAGAATGGTGTTAAATTTTTTATCAGTTGAATTTTAAAAATCAATTAATTAAAAAAATATACTTAATTAGTAATTAAAAGATAATTATTTTATTCATTAAAAATTATACATATTTCGAAACTTATATTTTATTATAAGATTTATCAAGAATCGATTAAAAATTTATTTTATCTGACAATTTTCAGGAGCGTCCCTCAAATCGATAAGATAAAAGGCTTTCATGGCTTTGGTTTGTTATTTGAAGCTGAAAAACAATAGAGATTAAGTGACAAACAGTTTCGCCTAATATTTACACAGCTTAACGTCATTTTGTGCTTTTGGTGAAAGCTTCCGTCAATTACAGGTAAATTAATACAATTGCATAGATTGGGAAAAGTTATTGTTGATCAAAAATGCTTTAAATCTTGTAATTGTTACCTAAAATGTTCTTTATAAATTCTTTAGTTGCATTTTCCATAAGAAATATTTTAATTGAACAACTTAGAAAATACTATATAAATCCAAAAATTGGTCTTGATATATAAAATTCTTTATAATTAAACTGCAATCTTTATAAGTTTGCGCAATAAATAAACTGACTTAGTCAGTTTTTGTCAATCATTAGTAAATTAGAGTAACTTTATGTATTATAAAATTAAATAATTATAACATTTTGTGTTCACGGAGAAAAAAAAATTCAAGTAAATTACCGCATTGTATGGTATTAGCATTTGTGGTAATAAAGAGCACACTAATTCTGGTAATAAAATCAAAATATATGGTATTTAAACCATTCATTTAGTAATTTTTCTATTCATATAGTGAAGGTTTATCGGAAATTTTGGTTTTCAAAACTATAGCTCTTATTAACACACATTTAGTATAAACTACGAAACTTAAAAACCAATTCAAACGAATAAAGGATTTTTATCCCATGCGTTAAGGTGTAGATTAGAATTACCAAGTTTTATCATACAATATTAAAACTATATTTTATTGTTAATTTTACCAAAATTATTACCAAAAGGTTTCTGTAAAAATTATTTAGCTTGTTGGTGTTTCCATAGAACCATAAACACGGTAAATTTTACCATATTGTGGTAGTTTTGACCCTACTTTTTTTTTCAATGCTGAAACACGTATGAAGCAAGTATTTTTACTAATTCTAAAATGATTGGATCTTATTGAGTTATTTTCAGAGTAACAACTAAATCCCTTTTATACTAAGGCATAGAAATTTTATAAAATGATATTATTGTCATAGCTTAAATTTCATCCATTAAGACACAAATTGTACAAGAAAAATAATATTTTAGCTAAGAAATGAAAGGGTTCGTATCATTGACCAAACCAATGGACTAATTTAGTTGTATGAAATTTATTTTATTTACAAAACTTTAATTCATCATAAAAATATGATTTATCTGAAATGGAATAGTTATACATTCCATTCAAAAAGTAGTAACCGTTTCAAGTTAAGGCGTGGTTTAAAGGAACTCACGCTGTGTTTACTTTATTTGAATTAATTATTTTTATAGATAACTTCAAAATCCTTGAAAATAGCAGAAAAATAAAATGAGTGAAAATTATACGTCTCAGTATTAATAAAAAAAATATTTATTGAAATTATGCATTTGACTGAAAATTTGTTGAAAATCTCTAATTTCAGCCATCTGATGAATTAAAAAGTAATTTTTTGATTATTTAATAGCAATTATAAAATAATGCATAGAGACTTACTCCGTTTTTATGAATTAAATGTTTCAGCAGGAAACTATGAAAGCGATAAGAATAAGTATTCTATTGTTCTACTTTATTCTCAGCAGCTGGTTACTAGCATTGTAATCATTCCACATGATTGCTCTTGCGAATTTGGATTCTTTCATAATTATTATTATTATTTTTTTTTTGGTTATTAATCTATGTAACTTTCATTCAATTTTAAAAAAGCTTTCTAAAAACATATGGTAAATATTTTAATATTAGGGTACCTTTTTTTTTTCTTAGTGTTCATAAAGTTTTCAATTACATATTAACTCTTTCATTCCGGTAGGGTCTGAGATTTTGAGTTCCCCTGTTACGGCAGTTTTCAGAAGGAAGGTTTTTCACTTGAACTCGACCACGGNAAATAAAAATTAAGGTAAAGATTCATATTTTTTGATTTGGGTAACAATGCATTGCAATATTATTTGGTAACAATATTATTTGGTAACAAAATGTCAGGGTATAAAGAATCAATAATTTTGCTGTGTGTACAATTTATTTCCTTTTATAACCGGGGTTGAACAATAGACTCAATTCTGAGCTTACGACTTTCAATGTTCAACTTCGTAACCTTGCAATAACTCAGAAAACAAGAGAACTCCAGGATTAAGAATTCTAGCAAACTAGCCTTCGTGGTTCACTTTTTGATGTGACTAACCCGCATTTGAGTTACAAGGAGAGAAAAACCGCGAAAACCTCCCACGGTTAGCCCGCCTGCAATGGGGTATTTTTATTTGTAGTTCATGGCTGATAATATTTAAAACTAATGGTAATAATAAAATAATAGGAACAATTCCACCATTATGATAACAATTATTTCTAATTTATTTTGTAACAAACAAGTCTTCTGTTTGTTAATAAACATAAATTTTATGTAGCCTAATTACTTCAAAAACTCAACCCCTTAATTTATTTAGTTTAAAATGATAAAATAAAACAATAAGTTATCCAATATAAATTTTAAATTAGCCTACGTGGAAAGGTTAGAAAAATTTTTGTTCATTTTAGTAGTATTACGTTAAAAATTTTTTTAAAAAAAGTCGAAAAAGTGACCCAGATTAAAAAGGCCGCAACTGGCCACTGTCTGGTAACAAATTTCTTAATTTAGCCCTATATTTATAAAATCTTAGAAAAATTAGAATAATTTCTAGGATATTTATAACTTTTGTGTGATCTAGAAACAGAATGCCGCAATCGATTTGTGTCCAGACCACACAAAAGTTAAAAATTTAAAAAAAAAAAAAAAAAGTGAATAAAAAGAGCTGAGTAAATTATAGGGTGATTTTATACCAAGTATATGATATTTCAGCAGTTTCGTTGTGCAAATTCAGCATATTTTTAATGAAGTTTGAAAATTATTTATATACACGAAAATTAATGATTGTCATAGTTTTATTTATATTGAATAATTTTATATTTTCTTCTGCACTTTCCATCAAAATGTATAAGTATAGGTTATAAGACAACATTATAATACATTTCAATAGTTAAAAAAATTTTACTAGTTATTTAAAAAAATAACTTTAGTTTAAAATATTTTAAAAAAATCTGGTATGTCATTTTAAATGGTGAAATATATTTCCATGATAGATCTTTTACAGTGACAGATTTTTTACCGCTCGATGAATTTAATTCCCAAGAAGTTAGAAGCGCTGTATGTTTTGAAGTAAGAAACAAATACCTCAAGGATTAGTAGGCAAATTGCTCCAACCAGAAAGATCACTGCAATACTTTTGACTGGAAAACTTTGTAAGAGAGTCAAACACAGTCTTTATGAATTACTCTACTCTTGTAGAAATCGGTTTAACATATTCTAGGGCCTTTTTAGGCAACTAAGTCTTTTAAAAAATGTTTTTCTGAGAGGAAAACACAAAAATTAAATTACCTTTATTGGTATTAATACAGAGAAAAAAAGAACTTTGAATAGAGGTGTTCAAATTCAGATTTCACAACATTTAAGTGATACATACATATTATATATAGTTTGAACAGTTCTCAAGACTCATGTGACAGAAATTAATTGTCAACGACAACAAGTAAGATTGGCAGTTTACCACTTCATTCAACTAACTGATCGTTCTCTACCAGTTTTAGGCTAAGCACAAATATTTTACTGTGGCATTATTTGCATTGGAATAAGATTACATTACATTAAGACAGAAACAGAGTTTTGTATATGAAAAATAATATTCTATTTAAGAAATAAAAAGGTGCTTATATGCAAAATGGGTCAAATCAATGGACAAATCATTTAGCTGTTTTATTCATTACATTTGTTTTATTTTATTGACAGAAATTTTAACTTTTATCCTTCAACACAACATATGATTAATCTCAAATGGAGTAATTATGCATTATCAAAAAGTTGAATGTGTCAACAAACGTTTCAAATTAAGAAACTATTGATATTTTAAAAATTTCTTAATAGAAAGTGTTAATTCTAGTTCAATTACTAATATTTTATAAATGTCTTCACAACCCTTGACAATAGCAGAAAAATAAAAATAACGTAAAACATCCGTCACAGAGTTAATAAAAAAATATTTAGTGAAATAGAGCTTTTACGCACCACTATTTATTGAAATCTATAATTAGTTTATAACATTACTGTTTTTATGATTGGTTTATAATATTGAACACATCTTATTCTTTAACAGCATTATTGTTTTATGTCAGTGTTCATTTCATAAATATAACTCGTACTTTAAAATAAGCCCAATATTTTCTTAAAGTATTTTGTATATGAAAATAAAAAATAAATCAATTTCATTTAATTCAAAAGGTTAAGTAAAAGTCGAAGTTAAAACTATAACGCAATCTGTCGTATCTTAAGCAGCGTTGCAGAAAACAGCATCGCGCTGGTCCCTGAAGAAAACTCTTACTTCAGAAGTATCCTTGACACTTTAAAGTTGACCAACGTTTCTGTCAAATTTCGTTTCTCTGCCATACTGGAAAAAAATGACGCAAGAAAGCTGTTTTAGAATGACTAAACGCTTCAATGCTGCATCACATAAATAAGCAGTTTCATTTTCTAAAGTGAGTTCGATATGCTGTGGAAAAATTTTTCTCCGTTTTTTTTATACTCAGTTTTAAGGTGGTACTATTTGAAAACACTTTTCCATCAGAAAGCTAAAGCTGTCTTAAGGATTTATTTGTGATTAAGGGTAAATAACGTTTTAAGCTTTCTTTATTTCTCTGTTAACGTTAATATTTTAATTCTATTTCACATCATTTAGATGAAAAAAGTTATTTTTTTACAGATCTTTAAGCCTGATAATATATTTACAGCAGTAATTTTAATTGCTGTCTTATAATTTCTTATATTATCATCATATTTTTCGTCACATGTGTTTTATGGTCATCATTTTTATTTTATTATCAAATATTCTTGCTCTTCAATTCCATAATTATTATCTTTCTTTCCTCCAAGTCCTCCAAATTCCCATAACAAATCAATGCCTCTGGGGGTACTGATCCAGGAGTTTTCTTATCTTCTGGATTGGTTTACAAATTACAAGGCTACGGAGTTGAGCATTAGTAGTTCTTATCCCAAAATTGGGTCTGCTGTTCAAAGACGGTTATAAAATAAAATAAAATTAAATATCGAAATAAATTTTTTTAGCTGATCTATTTATCTCATAAAAATAAATTCAACAATTTTCAATTTACAATTTTCAGTTTTATAACTTCATGGGAAGTGAGAGAATAAGTTATTCATCAAATGAATTTAATCGGGCTGAGGACTTTGCCTAGACATATCAAAGTCCCAAAAGATATCCAAGATTGGAAATAAATAGAATACACAGTTTTTTTTTCTTTCCAACTAATAGATTTTTCTTCTTATTGAAACACAAAGTATATAAGATGGGTTATGTATGGAATAGTACGTAAGTCAAATGAGTTGCACAGCTTTTCTGGTTCATTCGCACTCTTTTATCGAAATAATTCATTACCATTTTGCATAAATGTGGCTGAATTTTGTTGATGCAGAGTTGAATCACTTCCTCCAATGCACGGATGGACGTAAGCTTGTTAACCTTTGACTTCAAATAACTCCATAGAAAGAAATCCAATGGTGTTAAATCACGTGATCTAGAAGGCCGATTCTGATCATCGAAACAAGATAACACACGGCGAGGAAATATCTCATCGAATTACAGCAGTCAAAGTTTCATTATTTTTTAAATATTGTTCAACAATTAATAAGTTCTTTCGTGTAGTGCTATATTTTAAATAACCCTATACTGTCAGTAACCCCATAGTTGTCAAACTGAATTCTTTTTCTGGTTGATGCAAACACTAAATTAATTAATTTTCGATTGAATTCAAATCTTGGGTAGATTTTGGGACATCCTTTATTATATTCTTCTGTTTTAAAACATTATTTAATTTTGAAATATTGCAACTAGGTATTTCCTGAAATTTTCTGATTTAATATTTAAAATGATTTACTCCTAAAATCATTTTAAATATTAAATCATTTTTCTACTTATAGTAAATATTAGGTAGTTAAAAAATTTCTGCAACACCCTTACAGCATCTCTAACTCTAAAATCTCGCATCTCTAAGATCTCGTTTATCGCAATAACGAATAAAAATCGGAAGTTCAGTTTTTTCCGAAGTCATTTAGAGCTTATTAATGAAAGTTTAGACTAAGAACACCAAAAAAGGTGATGTGTGATGGAGAGACTGTTTATGACTTGCTGATGCGACATGATCTTCTGGACTTGGTCTAGGACTCTAGACCATCGGGATAAGCAACAACAACAACACCAAAAAAGAGAACAAAAGGAAAATTCATATAAAGTTGTAATTTTCGCAAGTGTTACTTTCTTAACAAACCTATATTCTAAATTCATTCTTAACATAGCATAACTATAATTAAATCAGTGCAACATAACTAATAAATTGACTCCATAGATTACAAATTAAAAATTTGATTACTTTTTAATGTTTTTAAAACTACTAGCTTTTCATATGCGTGACGATAGAATCCCGTAATTGACATATCTACACCTTTCCCATTACTTAGAATGAACAATTTTGACTGTAGTTCCGAAAACGATGCAAATTTTGATTGGTTCCCGACAAGTAGATTTTGTTGTTATTTCATAGCCAAATCAAATTATCGTCACTTTAAGTTTGACTTAAACTTTAACTGACACTTTGCGCTGATTGATATCACAAGTTTCAAATAGTTTCTTGATCGTTAAATTTGGAATTCATCGTCAATAAATATTCCAACTAACAAAAGACTGTAACTACACCGCTGACAATATTGACAATATTGCAAGTTTCAATCGTTCTGTGGCAGTTACAAAGAAGAATTAGATTTCATATTGTCAAAAGAGCAGCTAAAATAAACAAATTTGTAACTGTGTGTTTGAAGACAATATAAGCTTTAATGCTGCCCAACAGACAGTATGTATTGTCTTATCATCAATTGAAATTCCGACTATTTAGTGTGATAAATTTGCAATTAGTGCCTGATGACAATTTTACTCACAATTGTTTTCTAAACGGAGCATGCAAACTTTTTCGCCATTTAATCGTGATCGAAATTTTGTCGTCTTTCCGTAAACAACCAAGCAAGCAGATAAATAAAAAAAAGTAAAGAGTAAAATAAAGCTGCAGTTTTAAAACCTACATTATTCGAGTGGTCCAAAAACGAAAAATATTTCGATTTTTGTCTGACCAAAAACAAAGAATGAATCACTTTCATAATACAACTTCATCATCACCAACCACTCACTTGTCTTTCGAAAATGATGCACAAACGTTTTTCGTTTTTGGTCTGGTCTGGCAGAAATAATCTTATTCTCACCGTTTAAACTCACTTAAGAAGCGTAATCATTAAATTTTGTTTATTTAATTTCATTTGTATTTCTTTAATATATGCCAAATAATTTAAAGTAACTGAAGCGAAATACTCATAATTTTTATTAAAATATTAATCTATATAAACTCATGTTTGTGAAAATTGCAACACCATGAAGGACTTACGCGAGTGAGCTGAAATTTTCAGGAAATGCAAAGTAGAGCATGATATGCAAATGATTAGAATTTCAGACCCGTAGTGCATGCGTATGCTGAGCAGCGCCCTCTGAACGGCGGATGGATCCGAATAAATAGACGACTGTAGCCTAGCGAGTATGGTTATCGGTGGTTATCTGCTAGTGGTAAATGTCAGCTTAGTCATTACTTATTCCTATTCGACGAAAGAGAGCGAGATTTCAACAACTTACGGAGTTTAAACGGGGGAGAATCATCGGCCTTCGTGAAGCTGGATTATCTTATCGTGCAGTAGCCGCTCGTGTGCAGCGTAACAGCAGCACAGTGATGCGTGTTTGAAAGCAGTGGATGGACGAGTGTCGGACAACTCGGAAATCCGGGAGTGGACCCTGAAATGTCACGTCAGCTCGCGATGATAGACACCTGTTCGGCGTTGCGCTAACGGACCGTACGGCTCCCTCTAGACAACTGGCAGCACGGTGGTCAATAGCTACAGGTGTTTCATTGTGTGCTTTATCAATTCGTAGACGTCTGCTGCAGCGTGGACTGCGCGCAAGGACTCCTTTATACAGGATCCCCCTCACGCTAAACCTTCGCCGCCTGCGGCTGCAATGGGCCAACCAGCATAGGGACTGGCTTGCTGATTGGCAGCGTGTCGTGTTTTCTGACGAATCTCGCTTCAATTTGTGGTACCATGATGGCCGCATTCGTGTCAGACGCTATGCCGGTGAACGCCATCTTCCGGAGTGCGTTATCGAACGCCACAGTGGACGAACACCCGGAGTTATGGTCTGGGGTGCCATAGCATATCATGGACGATCTCAATTGCTACGAATTGTGGGTAATCTGAACAGCAACCGGTACATCAGTGAAGTTCTACAGCCCCAAGCTGTTCCCTTCCTTCAAGCCTTGCCAGGTGCTGTATTTCAACAGGACAATGCCCGCCCTCATATTGCTAGGACTGTTCAATCCTTCCTTGCATCGCGACAGGTACAACTTCTTCCTTGGCCGGCGTATTCCCCGGATATGTCGCCGATTGAACATGTGTGGGATTTCGTTGGTCGGCGTCTCGCTCGTAATCCTCGTCCTGTTGCTTCTACAGACGAACTTTGGGTACGCATACAAACAGTATTGAATTCTCTTCCTCAGACAGACATTCAAAGTTTGCTTGACTCCATGCCATGTCGTGTAGCAGCACTTATTGCGGAGCGTGGTGGTTACACAAAATACTGATTTCGATCTCTTGTTATTGTTTGTTTGCTTTGAAAGTTTAATCATTTATTTGTACCACTACCACTCAACTGTGTATTAAATTTCATTCAATTATGATGATTCCTTCATGGTGTTGCAATTTTCACAAACAAGAGTTTATATAAAAATGAATGTCTGTGAGTGTGTCCTTTATAGACTCATAAACCATCAGACCGAAAGTTATAAAATTTGGCATGCAGATAGTTCAAAGCACGAGGAAGGTCACTGTCAGCATCAGAACATTCAACAAACCGTTCGAGCGCGAAGAGTGGAAAACGAAATAAAATTTCCTGATCGGTTAAGTGTCATCCATTGTTTTAAATTTTAACAATTCAATTTATCATTTATTTTAAAGATAATATCAGTGATAATTGCTACTTCATAGCTCTATTTGATCAAAAAATAGTTTATTGCACGTCTTTAAACATTTAATTATTTTATTTTAGCTATGTCAGATAAATTCAATGAACATTACGTGGTAGAACGCGTGGTCTACGTCACCAAATTTACAATTTGTCTCACACCAAGTGCTTTTATTTTTTTTATATTAATTTTTTTAAACTTGCTTCTAAAAATATACTTATTTAAAACCAACGGTAATGGAATTCGCGACAGCTTCGAACTATAGAGGGCGTTGTTGTATGAGACGAATACCTGCGATTTCTATATGCACAGTCACTCAGTTACTCTGGAGACGCCTTTATTGTAACGTGTAGCATTATATCGTTCCTTCTTTATTGTGGCTTATTAAATTTTAAAAAAAAATGTTTGATATTCTTTCTTATACAAACGATATTAATAAAATGGTTCCTCTTTTCTTTTAGAGAAGGAACGTCCAAAACACATCGAAAGAATATATTTGTAAATAAATAGAAAAAAATATGTATTTTCTTATTAGAGTTAAAACCTAATACCTGAGAAGTAATTTTACTAAATTTAATGATATAACTTGAAATGCCTATTTAAACTTTACGTTCCATAGTTTTACGAATCATATTACTTCAAACATTAAAATAAGCAAAAAGTATACATAAGCCTCATAATTGCATGTAACTTAATTTTGTAAAAAAAGTTTTTTGACAGCAATTTTTATCAAAAAATTTTAAGTTTCAATAAAAATCATTATTTAGAAAATAAAAAACGTAAAATAAAGAATGCTTACTAAACAAACAAAAAAACAATTCTAAAAATTCCTCACATTAAAATAAAAAACTTTCATGCTTTTTGTTTTTGTCTTTTTTTATTCATATTCGGACGTAGAAAATCATTGTATAGAAAATTATCATCAAATAAGAAAAAAAATTATTCACAAGTAAAATTTTTTATTTTATAAATTATAACACTTACCTGCTTTATAAATCCGGAGAATTCCGAATGAAATGACCTTTATTTTCAAATAATATGTACATAGATTATCCCTTCATTACTTTTAGATAACATACCACACAACAAAATTTTATAATTGAAAGATCTCGATATGAATTTTAATATGTAGCTTAAAAACAGAATAGCGGAATTCTAGTTGAAATTATTCTTTCAAAACTAAAAAATACTTACCACGAAAACGATAAAAATTTAATAATAATCAGCACAAATGATACTATTTCAAGTAATTCGGATGATTCTTTATTGTTTTTTTCCGAATTATATAAATACAGAAATATATACTATTCTATAAAAAAGAAGAATATTCTAAAACTATTACAGTTCTGTATTCACATTTATACATTGGAGTGAAGAAAGCAATGTTGTCTTCTCTTTAATTCGTAATGAATTGAAGATCAAAAAAAAATGTTTTTTATATCAGTACACACATCTGTAACAGTATGGGATCCCGAAATCGGAAGTTATCAGTTGCAAGTTTGTTGATAATAGAAAGATAAAAATTATTGAGGAATTTTTCTTCAAATGCTTGGCGTGTTCTGTTCTTGAAAGATTAACTAATTCTCTGGAAAGTTTTTTCAAGTTCTTCGGTCTTTTATTTCGGGAAATTTTGCTTCTTATTCGCTGCTTAGAAAAAGGCATTTGACTCTGCCAATGATTCCGATGAAACTGAATTAAAACTTAATAAATAAATGCCTGATATTTTCAGGCTCCCACTAGAGGGCAAACTCTTGCGATCACGAATAGAAAAAAATTATGTATACAAAATCAAAATTAATGGGAAAGTGGTACTTATTCGTTTAGGAAAGGGATGGGCAAACTACGGCCCGCGGGCCAACTGTGGCCAGCCGGAAGGTTTTATCCGACCCACGGATAGAATTTTAACTTGCCGATCCGTGGTGAATATAAACAAGATACATTATACATCTAAGGGAGAGTCGGGTAGCCCATCCCACTTAAAGAGTATTGCTTATATTTCTGCATAATATTGAGTAATAATCAATATTTTTGTATGTTTCTATTGTTTTACCATCTAATTAAATAATGCAAAAAGAATAAACAGAAAAAGAATAGTTTAACTTAAAAAAAATAGAAATTTAAAAAAACATGTTTTTTAGCTCTTTTCAAAATGTGTCGGGTAGCCCCTCCCGTTACAAAAATTATGTTTTTTGACTGTTTTTTCAGGTGTAAATGAAATTGACCAATGTATTGACAACAGATAAACCTCATTATAATTTTTATCACAAAATTATTTTATTTATTACATATTTATATACTTTTAGTGAATTCTATCTTTTAATAACAATCATTTAATAACAACAATATTTGTTGTTGAAAATGCATATAACATTCAAATTTGAAGCAATAAAATAATAATCTTTTCAACCGTACATTTATCGACGAAATAAAATTGGGCGTTGATACCCGACATTTATGTGAGTGGGGCTACCCGAAATCCATTTTTTTTGTTAATTTGTAATTACTCGAACAATTTTTCACATATAAACTTCTTTCTTTGTGCAAATTAAACTTAAGACTACATACTTTAATGCTGTATTTATAGAAAAAAATATTTTTTTAGTATTAAAATGAAGTTTAATCGAAACATTCAAACAATTTTTCTTAATTTCCTGACTACTGTATTCAACATATTTTCAAAACTATTGTTTACCATGTTAACAGCTGCATGAATACTTGAAACTTTGAAAATAATCTTTTTTAATATAACAATTAATGTCCGATGGTCCATTGACTTGAAAAATATTCCATACATATGAAATTGACTGTGGGCGGGACTACCCGACTCTCCCCTATATTTTGTCTACTTTGCTTAAAGCTATTTTTGTTCTTTCTTTTTTAACAAAGTACTGATGGCCTTTTTACTTTCTCTATTGATGGAATTGATGGAAATAGTTAGCACAGACAGTTTCAATGGGTTAAATGTTGAAAGCAGAAGTTCTTTATAGAATAGCCGCAGATTAGCTCCAACGAGCATTTGTCTTTCTCGAGGAGCAGACATATGGAATCTAACATAGGTGAATTGTGCTTCCCATGAGGCAGACAGCCAATTTAAGCTCCAACGAGCTGATTTTTCTGTCGGTGTGAGTTCTAACATTATTTATTGCGTGTGGAGAGATTGCACACTATTGTTGTTTCAAAATATACCAAAGTTTGAGTTTTGCAAATCATTACCAAAATCTAGTTTCCAAAATTTAATATCTCATGCCCAGAAAATCAGTGCCATGTTTGCTTCATCTTATATATGTGAACAAGTGTTTTCAACTATGAACCTTAGAAAAAATCATTTCTGAAGTAGACTAACAGACAAGCATTTAGCCTCGTTACTTAAAATAAGCACATCTCACTTCGAGCCTCAATATAAGGAACTTTTAAAAATGAAATCGCAATTTCATTCATCTCATTAAATATTTAAATTAAAACTTGTATATCGTTTTTTTATTTTAGAAGTTTTAACTCAACCCATCAAACTTTTTTTTCTCGATTTTTTGCCATCGTCCAAAAAAGTTTGCCCATCCCTGGTTTAGGAGAAACATAAAAAAACGACACCAATGATGCTTAATTAATTAAGTTAAGCATATTAAAATAAAAAAAGGCTATGTACTAGCTATGTATATAGCTCAAAGAACCGTAAGAAATCGTCATGCTATCATTGACGACAATGATGTTTAATTAATGTTGGTAATCTATATTAATTGAAATTTTAAAAAAAAGTAACTTCTGAACTAAAGAGCAAAAATAAGTAGAAAAGATACTTATTCGTGTTTTGGGTAACCGTAAAAAATCTGCATATTATAATTGACACTAATTTTAAATTAATATTGATAATGTGTATTAATTGAAATAAAGTACAATAAGCTATGTGATAAAAAGTCAAGCTCATGGAGGAAAGATTTATTGAAAATTTGTTTAAAAAAACAGTAAAAAATCGTTATTCTCAATGTATCACTGACGGTGATGAGTACTACTGGTATTTTATGGCAATTGGCGAATTGGTTTTGATAAAAATTCTGCAACGGGTTTTGCGTAGTTTCGGAAAACATTTTTTTCCAGTGGTAACTAAGATAGTGTTTTAATATTTTAATGAATTTGAATTAAAAGAACATTTTCCCACCAATACTTATTAATATTTTAACACTAAATTAAAGGCGAAGGTAGAGAAATGGTCATGCTCCAAAATCCGTATGAAGTTCTAATTAAAAAAATTCGGCTTTAGTTGGCTGCCACTGATAAATACGCATAAACTCAAATATTGATGTGTTATGCAATAAGTACCAATTATACTAACTGCACCAATCAGTTTTAATACGGATAGATTTGAATTAAGTGTTTAACAGCTCCTCGAAAAGGTATATGTGCCTGTGAAAATCACTTAATAGTGGTTAATTTTAACTATCATGAATCGGCTGGGAGCAATGCCATCATGCCAAGAGATGCTAAATACATTTTATCTTTATTCCAATGGTATAAATTACAAACAACGAGCTAGGCTTACTTCAAAAACGCAAGGCTACCAAAGAATACAACATATAACATTAAATAAAAAATATTAAAATTATTTTAGCTATATTAATTGAAGAACACGTGTATCTGAACTATTTTATTGCCGATTTATTAGAAGGGGGCACTAATAATTTATTTTATGTACCACTACCTAATTTTAAATAAAAGTTATGCAAGTATATTAAAAACTAATATGGATCAATTATGTTAAGATAAAAGTGAAAACAAAAACAGCTCAGTTACAATTAAACATACCCATATTGATGCAACCACTTTATCTTATTTTCTATAGTTAGTTAATTCAATTAAAAATTTCATTCACCTGGTTCTTCCATCAAGCTCTTTAATTGTGTCCGTATATGCCTTTCAACTTTTTCAGCATCATTGCGTCGTGTTTCTCAGTACTGATTTATTGATTCTTTTCTCTTTTTTTTTATTCTCCCGTGCGAAGAACGGGTATTCAGCTAGTTATGACAAATTTTAATCTTTGCAATCTTTGAAGAACATAAAACGTTAATGTTACATACCGAATTCGTAAAATTGATGCATGTCTCGAGAATATTTGGTGAACATAAGTTATCTAGGGATAAGTATTATGGTACAAAATCTTAAGTTAATGTAGGAAAAAATCTTTTCCTTAATTTTTTTTCTTCTTTTTTTAACTTTTGTTTGCTTAAGCAAATTTTTCAGTATTTACGAAAACGATAGTAAAGACTCATTCTAAAAAACTTTTGAGACGCTAAACAACTATTAAATTTTAAGAACAGAATCCAATTACAAACGATAGATATTAGATTCTGTTCTAAAGCATCAGTCACAAAAAAAACGAAAGAAAATGTATTTATTTAACACAAAAAGTTTGTTACAAAATGAAAAGTATTTGTAACTGAAAAATCAAAACTATTTGTTTTTACTGTGGAATTATTTCTTGTTTCAGTTCGCTTAGAAAGAAAAATGGCTGCCATTCCGTCAAAGAATGATGATGTGAAAAGCAGAATCTCAAAACTGTTTTTTGAGGAATCCCTTTGTGATGTGACGTTTTTGGTCAATGATCTGTCTCATCGATGCCACAAGCTAGTACTTGCCAGTGGAAGTAAAGTGTTTGAAGCCATGCTGTACGGTAAGATGGCAGAAAATGAAAGTGAAATCCGAATACCGGATGTTACAGAAACAGGATTTCGCATAATGCTTCGGTATAATGTAATATCATGTTTATATCCTCAATTTTAAGTGATAATTTTGAGATATTATCATATTTGAGATATCTGCGACATAAATTGCACATTAATATAAATTAAATTAATATCATGCCTTTATGAAACTTTCAAAATACTATGTCATCAAGTTAACATAGTTTGTTTACCATAGATCTGATTAAAGTGTAGAATCGGGGCTCCTTGTTTTGGCAACAAATTTCAATTGTAAAATTTTGACTAAACTCAGTTTCTGGTAACCATGATATTCTTTTCAAGCTGTCTCTGCTTTTAATGAGGTCAGCATCGAGTTACCACAATTTCTATTTATCGTAATGTGATTGGTTCTTGGTTTATTTTCTTTATTTTCATTCGCATTCCTATACCAATAGGAACCTAATCCTCTTGGTTGCATCTGTAACTGATTAATCATTTATGAATTTCTAGTGGACTGGTAACTGAAATAACGTCTGCTTAGACATCTCAAGAGGACATCTTTGATAAAGTGCACAGCTTGGTTCAAAAAAATGGACCACATTGATTGAGTAATAATCTTTAGAGTTGGCGAATGCAAGCGAGTAGGGAAAGGAGCCCACTAGTATAAGTTATTTGTTTTTATAAATTATTGGCAATTTGCCGAATAAAATAAAACACGAGTCTCTTTTAGTGATCCAAATGATTTAGCACCAGTAGTTTTTACACATTTACTGCAAAATGTATGACCTGTATATTTTCTTCTAATGTATTATATTATTTCTAATGCACAAAGATATCAAAAATTGTTTCTTTTTTAGATACCTATATACAGACACTGCAAAATTCGAAAATGAGTTTCAAGCATTTGAAGCAGCTTACTGTGGCAAGAAGTATCTAATAGATAATTTAATTGAGCTTTGCGAAAGTTATTTGCTTTCTCACGCAGTTTTAAGCTTCGAAACAGTACTCTCCCTTTATGAAAAAGCTGCTTTTTTGGAGTTGAAAAAATTACAAAATCGTTGTCTCAGTTACGTGTCTCGACATGCTTCTAAAATTTTGATTTCTTCAAGCATGCTTTTCATTTCAATAGCAACTTTTCAAAGAATCCTGGAATTAGAATTCATGGATATTAAATCTGAGAAAACAATCATAGAATCTCTATGGAAGTGGGGAGAAGAACAATGCAAAAAGAGAGGTGTAGATAAATGTACCAAAAATATTCGAAATTCAATAGAAGATCTTCTGAAATATGTTCGTTTTTTAACACTTGGTTTCGAAGAACTGGAAGATGTTTTTCAACATTATGATTTATTAGATAACTCTGAGCAGTTGGCTATTCTTTGGAATATTGCGATGTCAAATAGAAAGGAATCTGTTCGACTGCCATCAAACTTATGTGTAGAATTTAAAAATAGGTAAGTAATATTCCCATCTTAAATACATACTTTAGTTATAAAAAAAAACATTCGAAGTCATGGGTGTCTCATGGGGAAGGAATAAGAATACATAGAAGGAATTAAAATACATAGTCACAATAGTTTTAAAAAAAATTCTTGTATGTGATATCTCAAATTTGTTTATATTTTATTAATTGTTGTAACTATTCATGATTACGACTTGTCTCGGTTTCATATAAATTCAAACAGATGAAACTTTGTAAGTATTGCTTTAGTTTATTTAAAGTACTTAATACAAAATTTCTGATACCCTTTTAGCAAGGATGTATGCAAGGAGTATATATTGTGGAAAATACCATTGGTGGAAATTATCAGAAAACTATTAATTATTTGTGATAGTTTCTCAGAGAAACTTCTGTTGGCTCTATCATAGAAAAATAGTTCAATTTAAACTAAGAAAATAGCTCATAAAATTTCGATTAGTTGGTTAGGAATTTCGAACGCTCTGTGAATTAAAATCAGGCGCTTTTCATTAAAAGAACCATCAATCCTATCTCGTCTAGTCGTGATATAGGGCGGAGACTGAAATAATCCTAGTCGAGATTCCGAAAGGTCAGATTTTTTCCAAGTAAAATTAATTATATTGTAACGGAATTTAATTTATAAAGAACGAATTCTGTGGTTTGTATCCCATTCTGCCTCCGATATCAGAACAGCACCACCACTGCTCATCTTTTTTTTTTATTAAGACACTGTTGTTTCCTTTTTCTTTCTTATTTCTAATACTCCAGCACTTACTATTTTTCTTCTCAATACCTATCCTTCCTCACCAGCACTCTATACAACCCTCTATTTTGAGTCTCTAATGTCTCTTAAAGAAATGTGACTGAAATAAAATTTAATTTTTCATGCGGCTTTTCATTTATAGTTGCATTAACATTCCTGTTACGTAACTAACATAACATGTGATTCGAATTAAGTTTCACACACCAAATAAAATTCTTCAAAAAATATTTTTATAAATGTTTTGTATCGTTGTACACAAACAAATTGAATTGTTTTACTATAAACCACTTTAAATGGAAATTTTGTTCATTAAAAGCCCAATACTGGTCGTAACACAATAATCATAGGTTATTTAAGACTTCTGTGAAATCATGAAAAATCTATTCCTAATTTTGTGAATTAGTGAAAATGGGTCCCGATTTCGTAAAAAATCTCAAAAACAAATATTCTCTTCTGACTTTTTGTGAAAATTCTAATTTTATGAAGTTGGGAAATTCTAATCATAATTTTGTGAGTATGAGGGAAAATGGCTCTGTTTTTGTGAGAAAAACCCACGCACCAACCAAGTCTTTTAATAGTTTTAAAATTGTTAACTAAAATCGTAATTACCTCCGTTTTTCAAAAGTAGTTTTGTGAAGGGATAGTTTTTTCGATAAAGTATTTGTTAAGGATTCTTTTAAACTATCTACTTAATGACAAGTTCGTTTTAACACTAGAAAATTTTGCGAAAGGTCCGTTATCGGACACAATTTCTCCCCCATTGACACATAAAGATTTTTGTTTTATATTTCAGGTCCATAAAAAGTGCATCAAGATTAAAAATACCAACTAAATATAGATATAATGAAGACATCATGAGGATCTCAACTAAACGATTCAAACAATACATTCGTTTGTCTGTTGAAGGATCTGGCATCACAATGTATGGCCTGGTCGTGGCCATGAAACCAATTCCCTGTTATTCTTTTTCTCACATACAATTAAAAATTGATATTACGTTGTATAACGAGACAACAAAACAATATTCAAGAGCAAAAATAGTCAAAAAAGCTGACAATCAGGAATGTAATGATCAAATCGAAGAAGTTTTATTCGATGAATTTCTGCGTCTTGATGATGGGGACATAGGTAGTTTAACAGTAGAAACTACTGGAGAAGGTGTGAAAATTATGGAATTCACAAAAGAAGAATTTACGCTTAAGTCGGCCAGTTCTGTAATGAAGTGCAATTTCAAGGTAGATGATAGAAGCAGTCTGTTGTTTCCTGTTAAAGAATTAATTTGCATCCCTGATTGAAAAAAAAATTATTGCAGGAAAAATAAAACTATATTTTTTTAGGGTGAAATTTAATAATAAATCAATGATTGACTAGATGATGAATTGGTTTCAGCACTGAACCCAGTAATTCAGTAAAACCAGCAATACGAAAAACACGTTTTTTTCATTTAGAGAAGTTGAATTGTGTCCAGTCATCATCAAATAAATACCAGTAATCATCAAATTACTGTCACAGTTACCGGTTGGTAAAAATGAATTGACTTCAGCATTGAATCCAATAATTTAATAAATCAAGAGTCACAAAAAAAACGTTTTTTTATTTTTTATTGGTAGAAATTGAATTGTATCCCTCATCAAATCTCTGTCACAGTTACCGGGAGGTAAAAAATGAATTGATTTCACCACTGAATCTAGAATAATGTCCAGAAATCTACTAACATCTAAACGTTAAGGCGGCTCTAGTGTAATTTGGCTTTACATTTAATAAAACAATTTAAACAAGAATTTCAAAAGAAAATTAAAAAAGTGATGCACCGAAAACTCTCTAAATTGAAAGGGAAAAAAAATATCCGTCGGCTACCTTTAGCATATCAATTTAAATATCGAAGACACATTTTTGGTACATCAATAACATATTCGTTGTAATATGAATAAACATCTAGCTATAATAATATATTAACAAAGGAAAAAAATCGTGGCAAAGAACAAGACAATTATTAATATATACAAGATAATATTAATTTACACAAAAAAAAATTATTAAAGATCAGGAATGAAAATAACTAAAAAGATTGAAGGAAACACTTTTGTTTCAATTTAAACACAGCAGGAAAAAATATTTACACATTTTAAATCCACATTGTTTTGTAGTCTAAATTCTTATTAAACCAATCATAATCCAATTAACAGTATAAGTTAACGATGAATAATCATGCCGTACACAAGAATAATGAAGTGATAATATGCTGAATGAGTTGAGTAATTATAATCCAATGGTGAATATAAATTAACCACGAGTAAATGTGACTTACATTAGAATTACATTTATTTTGTTTCCTAAAGTTGAATCAATCATAATCTAATTAAGAGTATAAATTAACCATGAGTAAATATGCCGTATTTGAGAATAATGAAAGTGATAATATGTTTCACTTGTTTTGTTATCTAAATTCTTATCGATTCATTCATAGTCCAATAGACAGTATAAATTAACCATGAGTAAATGTGTTATGCATGAGAATAATGAAAGTATGTTATCATAGTTTAATTATAAATATCTTTAAACTTGTAACAATAAATGTTAAAAATGTCAAAGCATTTATCAGTATTAGTCGCAAATGATTTTTTCCAAGCCAATTTTCAAAATCCTTCCAAATCATTCATTTTATTTTACCCAAGCCACTTAGACTATCACAGTTAAATGCAACCTAAGTAGAAATCAAGCACACGTAATTAAAGTATTAAGATGCACTTAGTTAACGGAAATAAATCTTTAGAATTATGAAGCTCTATTAATGAATGTTTCATACTTAAATCAGCTTAATAAGATTTTCTGCCGTGGAACGAGAGATAATTTCCGATAAATGGGAAAGGAATCAAATTACAGAAAGTAATTAGTGCTATTATATTTTCCTTTACCTCGCATGAGAAAGTTACTCTATATCTGTATTTTACAAGAATATTTATAAGTTAAAATTGGGAAAAAGATTTGGTTCGAAGATCTTTCTACGATAAAAGAAATGAATAAAAATGAAAAGAATCAGTAAAAATCGAAGAAATTTAAATTTTAAGCTGTACTATATTGGTGAAAAAAAATTTCCGGACTTTAAAACGGGTAGACACAAGTATTTAAAAAGTTATTTTATCTTTTTAAAACAATCGTCTACGTAGCGAGATTTTTTCTCCTTGATAAAGTTAAAGAAAATAAAGTTAAACTAATAATTCACAATTTCGATTCGTTTTGGGGAAATCAAACTATATAGCGATGGAGTAAACTTTTCAAATATTTAAAAATTAAATGCATTTTTCAAGAAAATTGTGGCTTATCTTTATAATGACATTATGCACCATTTTCTTATCATAGAGAGGGATGGACAACCGAGCCTGACAGTCATGAATTACTGTTACAAAGCCACAATAGTTAAACAAATGGTGTATTGTTCGCTAAAAATTGAAATCGTTATTTCATAGAAATAAATGAGGTTCAAAGAGTAGCTTTAAAAGAATGAATATGGAAGGATGATGAACCTTTCACATTCGCTTTATTTCTATATTTAGAGAAATTAGTCAATTAAAAAACATGTTTGTATCAAACATTTCTGTTACAACATTTGTGATTAAAAACAATACCAGAAAGGTCTTTTATAATTAGTTTATTTGATTTAAATCTAAAAAGTATAAGTTGGCCCAGTTGTTTTACACAGCACACGGAGAAAAAAAATTCTGCTAAAATTTCCTTAATGATATGCACATTTCTGTGAGAAAAAAAAAAAAAAAAAAAAAAAAAAAAAAAAAATNAAAAACAAAAAAAAAAAAAAAAAAAAAAAAAAAAAAAAAAAAACAAATTTCTGGTAATAAAAAAAATATACGATACTTCAACCATGAATTTGGTAATTTGTTCGCTCGTATGGTAACGGTTTTCAGGTATAGTACTGTAATTTTACCAGGAAGCAATTCTTGTAAAATAATTGTACAAATTGGTAAAGACATTTCTGGTAAAAAAAAATCTGGTGTTAAAAAACAAAATATGCGATACTTATATCATAAATTTGGAAATTTTTCCGCTCGTATGGTAGCGGTTTGCACAAAATTCTGGTTTTCAAAAATTATAGTTCTTATAACTACACATTTAGTAACAAATACAAACTGAAAAGCAAATTTAACCGAACAAATGGTTTTATGCCACGTTCTAAGGTATCATGATGAAAGTACCAAATTTCACGACATTCACCAAATAGTAACTTATATTATAAAGCAATATTTTATTGTTATTTTTAACAAAATAATTAAAAAAGCACTTTGTTAAAAATTACCCGTAGAACTAGAAACACGTAAATTTTACCATATTCTGATTGTTTTCAAAATACTTTTTGCCTCAGTACAATAATATAATTTAATTTTAACGATTATCTCTGGCAAATAAAATAGTATTACTCATCTATATTTGCATGTGCGATTTTTATTATTAATTTCTATTTCTCTAATAATAAAAAATATTTGAACCTCCTTATTTCCTTATGTTTGATTTGTTCACGATGTATTCACATACACGTATTAGTTAAATTATTATTTTTTTTAATTTAAAAAAAAAATGAAAAACAGTTTTTTCTAGATCAATACGATGCGTATACAAAGAGATTTGGTAGGATTCTTGTAAACATATTCGCTTCATTTAAGTTAGAGTAACAATAATTAGAAACTTAAAAGATAATCTGAAGTAACTTACTGATGTCACATTTTAAAACAATATTACTAGATTATTTCGAATGAAGAAGAAATTTTGTGCTGTGTTATTATCTCTTATTCAAGCTCTCAACTAATTGATTAATCAGTGATTAATTTTCTAAGAAACTAATTAAAGACTGAAAACAAACGCCTAATAAATGTTTCAGAATTTTTTTTATTGTTATTAACAGTTTGTGTTGGATTGATTGTGTTTACTGTCTTAGAGGAGTATCTCCTAATATCTCCTCTAAGGTTTATAGTAGCATTAACCTTGAAGCCTGATAAAGAAACTCCCTTTATTTTTTTTTCTGATGGAAAAATTTTTTTCGAACTGATTAAAATACTTAGAAAAATATTTCAACATGTTATAGAACTTTTCAAAGTGAACTTGGTGTTCTGCAATTTATTTTTAGAATTCTTGTCAAGAATGAAGAAAAAAGTATACACGTATGTATGCAAGGTGAAGCAAAATCACTTCTGAAATCTAAAAAAAATCAAAGGAATCAGTGCGAAGTTGAATGGCGATTATAAAGGAATGCGCCTAAGTATTATCTGGCAATTAAATTGGTTAGGGAGTTTTTCATCGTGGTTTCCTCACAGATTTCGTTTGTGTTATTATTTATTTCTCGCTTAAGTATTAATTTGTAGGTCCTAATGGGGTAGGTTCTTTTTTTTCATTTTTAAACAATGTCTCTGTATTAAAAAAGAAAAGAAAAAGTTACTACCGCCTTCACCGTTTCTTCAGAAAATTTCCATCAAGCATGCTTCTCTCAGTCCTAATATCAAAATGTGATTATTAGTTTGTTTTGTTTTTTTCGATTTTTAAGATTTTTTTATATTTTGCGTAATTTAGATTGGTGAAAACTAATAAGAAAATCTACGAGTTTCTGCTGCTCATATGTTTAAAATTGTTAAGCGCGTCTCATTTTGCTCAGATTTTGAATAGTTTTGGAGTAACTAAACAGTTTATATTGATTTATTAATGATTTTCCTGATTTTGAGATATAAAGAAAAAAGTAGGAGTTTCAGAGTTTTTAAATTTTGGTGCTCTTTTATGTTATGAGAAATATGTATTTTTTTCGGGTTTTAATTAGAACTAAACTCAAATATCGTTATTTTATTTGAAAAAAAATTTTTTTTTTATGATTATTTCAAGTAGGGAGTGAGATGTTATTTTTTATATAAACTAACATTAAGAGTTCTTCCATTTTTCGTCAATTTCTTCAACAATTGCGTTGCTTTTCCATTCCACGCCCAAATCAAGCTTTATGTTTGACGTCATTATAATCTTTTTCTCCTTTAGATATTTTGATTTTCATTTCTAGAGAAATTATTTTTCAATTTAAATTTTTACGAATTGACAGTATGACTATTTATGCTATTTAAAAAATTTTTTCAGGTTTAACTCCTTCACTTACGCGCTCGAGTTAATTCGAGAGCGCCAAACTGTGCACATTCAAGATAATTCGAGCTGCATTGTATTTTATGCAGCTATAATTTTTCACACACGAATATATTCGAGAATTGAAAATAACAATGATGAAAGCTAAGAAAAGAAATATTTTTATTGATATTTATCATTTACATAGGATTGTAAGCTATAACACTTATTTATTCAAGAATTTTTTTTTTTTTTAAATGGCGGGCACTTGGAACTATTGTCCATTGGCCACAGAAAGTGCTAGAACTGCTAACTCTCTTTTCGCTACCCAGTGGGCACCTGTGTCGAAGCCACGGCAGTGGAGCAGCGTCGTCCACGTCACACTACCACAACCCGTTTATAGGGCGGGTCACATTCACACACAAAGGAGAAGGGCATAGAACACAGATAGAAAGAAAGAAACATCCTTGCCTGGGATTCGAACCCAGAACCTTTCTGATGCAAGGACAGTTCCCTGCCCCCTACACAGGCCGGTCGGCCTTATTCAAGAATAAAATATAGTCTTTTTCCATGGAACAAGAGTGCAGTATATCAAAATTTTCCACCAAAAGAAAAGTTGAACTAAGAGTGGCAACAAATAGAAACCTTTGAGGAGATGGATTTTTTTACATAAAAAAAAATCTTTTTTTGACCGGTTTTTTTCAAAAAATCTGTGCGCTAAGGGGTTAATTCGATAAAATAAATATCGGGGGAAAAATTGTTTATGATTTTCAATTTTAGTACAAATTTTGGTTTTTTGATTTAAAGTTTTATTTTTAATTCTGAATTTACGTAATGTTTAATTTCATTTTCTTCGAGTTGCGTTTAATAATTTAAACATATTTAATCCAGGAAAATATAAAGAAAGA